TCTCCCTATATCTCTCTGATTCTTGATTCTTCATCTGCAAAATGGGGATAATTTAGCACCTACCTGCAGTCTTCTCAGGATCAAATGAAATAATGTATTTAAAACACATTGAAAACTTCTAAGCACTATGCATGTTAACTATTTCATTATTTTTATCATAATTATTGTATCTGAAGGTAGAGGAAGAGAGAAAGTAGAAAGATAAAGGCAAGCATTGTGTTTTCTTTAGTGTTTCTCACTACAAGAATCTGTGGCTGCTTTAAGTAGCCAAATAAAACCTTACTATAGTGTGATGCATTACTACCCCCTACGTAGGTATGCCTCCGTCTATTCTACATTCACAGTATTGTGAGATATTCATAGTTAAAGACTCCTTAGTCTAGGAGAGACCTTAGTCATATTTCAGCCAAATCTACTCATTTTACTGATGAGTAAAAGGAGGAACTGAGAGATTTAGTTATTTGTAAAAGGTCTTAATGCTAGTGACAGTCCTAGACTAGAATCTAGGTCATCTCAATTCCAGGCCAGTCCTCTTTGAAGTTAACCCTATTAAACTAGTCATGCATTTTCTTATATCCCAAACTTTTTGAGGAAAAAAAATTCTTCCTTCTTGATTTACATTATTAGTCAGTACTGAGGTTGTCTATGTGCTTCTGGCTAAGGTTATTGTTAAGCCAAAAAATAACTATCAAGGGAAAAGGTATTTCTAAGGCTTTACAGGAAAAAAAAAAGGTAACATACTTGCAGATTCAATTCAAAAAGAATTTATTAATTGTCTTCTATGGGCAGAATACTGTGCTAGACATGGAGAAGTGCATGCAATTGTCCAATGGAACTATGGTCTCAGTGATACAGGTCCTTCTAATAAAGAAGAGCACAAGCCATCTGTGCCTTTATTTACTGAGACAGTTTTCCTCATGTCCTTCCATAAAATTATCAGAACATGTTCACTGACTATTTTGGAGGCCTTTTTGGCATCCTCTTAACATCACACAAGTATCAGTGTAGCACATAGAGTGTCCAGCCTGCACTCTCTATAAGGTATCTATCTGTGTTCCCAGGTACAATCTGAATAACTATTAAAATATTTATTGATGTCTTTCATTTTTATATCACCCGAATTTCCCATTTTATTTTCTATTGCATTTGAATCCCTCCAGATAGGTGTCCCTTGTAATTGAGCACAAAAACAACAAAGTGTGGGGAAGAGAGTAGTTCAGAAAACCTAACCAGTATTGAAAGAAGATATATATGCAATGTTCCATAGTCATAGTTATGCACTTCTGTGAAGGAAATGCCACCTTCCCATACATCTTCTTTGGGAATCAATCTCACCATTAGAATTTGAGGTGTCACATCTCAGTTTTATTAATGTTACTGCTGTTTCTTTTTACATTGTAAAATGTTGTAGTCATCATGTATATTGTTTTCCTCATCCTACTGACTTCATTTGGTATCACTGAATATAATTATCCCTGTTCTACTCTGGGTTTATCATATTCATTATTTCTTACTGCAAAATATTCCATTACATTCATGTACTAAACTTTATTTAGCCATTCCCCAATCAATAGGGTCTAAATTTTACTTTCCCCCTATTCACACATTTCTATGATAAATTCCTTTACCATTGTTTCTTCTGTGTTTTTGCTTATTTGTAATATGTTGTAGCTTTCTCGATCATACTATGTGATTTTAAATTGCTTTTCGTATGATTTTCAAATTCTTTAGAGATTGTAGTATTCCATGATTTGCAGTCATGCAACATAATTACAAATGCTGTACAGAAAACAAGAAGAAATAATTCATTTTTTAGCATGTATGTGTGTGTGCTTTACTCTAAGCTCCAAAATGGTAAAGACTCTTATTTTTGTAGCCTCTGCTTCCCTCTCGGCCCACTGTGCTTTGTGGTGAACATTCATAATAGGCACTGAATTTTTTCTGAGTGAATGAATAAAGACACTATCCTTGTTCTCATGGAGCTTACATTCTAGTAGATGATGAATGAATAAAATATTGAATTTAATAAAAATCCAACAACTGCTTATTATATGTCAAGTATTACAAAAATTGAGGCATTATCTTCCTCAAAGTTCATACAGTCTACTAGAAAATGAAACAATATGCTTGGAAGAGTGGTGACCAGGAAAAAAAGTCTCAGTGTGAGTAGTCATAGGGATAGATCAAAAGCTGATCCATAGGGCAGTTGATTAACAACCTTTTTCAGAACTAATGTTAGCATTAATTTTATTACTGGGACTAAAACAGGAGATGAAAAGCTATGGGAGAGGGGACAGTATAAGACACCAAGATATAATGTATACAAGTAATTGTAATGCAAAAGGTGCATGAAAAGATAATATGTGTTTAAGCTTTTATATACTTCCTTTCATTTTTTACTGTTGTACAACTGGAACTTTTAGCTTTTCAAAGCAAACTTGCAGTTTCTTCTTCCTCTTCTTCTTTTTCTTCTTCTTCTTCTTCTTCTTCTTCTTCTTCTTCTTCTTCTTCTTCTTCTTCTTCTTCTTCTTCTCTTCCTTCTTCCTTTGGGTACTAGTAACAACTTGGTAAGATATATATATATATATATATATATATATATATATATATATATATATATATATATATATATATATATATATATATCTACCATAAGACTGAAGATATTATCCTCATTTGACAGATGAAGAAAATGAGGCAGGATTAAAGTCCTACAGGTGCTTACATACGGAACAGTAGAACCTTAGTTTCAATGCATTAATTATTTGAACAAAAATAATTGCTCCCACTTTTTCTCAATCACTCTCCTTGACCTCATATTGTAACATCAATTATAGTCTTACTTTTCAGAAGTTTCCTCAGAGATAGATGTTGCATAAGAATATTTGAATGAGTATTTTCTCTTAGTTGTTGAATTAGAGAAAAGAGCATTTTCCATGCTTGGTGTATAAACACTTAATGGTCTAGGCACGGTTTTTCAGCAATCCAATTTAGGATGCATGTGTATATGTGTATGTGTGTGTGTGTATTTTAATTGATACAACAAGGAAATATCTGTTGTTATCTTTCTTTTATTTTTAAAAAGAATGATCCTGAATTTCCCTGCATCATTAATAATTTAGGCCAATGTCTGTGAAATGTTGCATGGGCTCCTGTTCTTTCTTCCCAGCAACTTCTGTTTGATGGGTAGTCATTTGTAAAGAGAGCATAATGTCAGATAATAGATTCTCAGATCTTTCAAAAGTGATATTCCTTTGGAGATATTTCTTAAAATGTCACATTTACAATATCAAAGGATGAAAATAGAGGCTATACAGATTTCTAGCATTGAATGAAACATGATTTATCCTTGGAGTTGGCGACATTTTCTAGGCAGTGATCAAGGGAATGCTTAGGAATATGTCTATATCTATATATCTATCTATATCTGATCTACAACTATATCTGCCTATATAAATATATATATATAGGTATCATATTGTTAACTCTCTCTCTCAACCTGTAAATTTGTAGAAATATGCACTATACCATGTATGGCAAGGGATAAGAATTGAGGAATGTGATTTTCTGCATTTTTATTCAAAGTTGTGCCATTTTTATCAACTCAAAGCATCATGGCTCTTTTTGCTTTTATAAGATCAGTGAGTAGATATTTCCTATGTAATGTGTCAATCAGGCAAACAGTTAGAAAATTATTAGAATCAAATAATATTAGTTAATGCTAAAAAGAAACTTATAGATTATCTAGTCAAAATCTCTTACACAACTATGGGAACTGTGGCTCAGAGAGGTTAAATAGGTTGTCTGTGGTGACATAGTGACAAAGCCAGGACTAGAACCCTTTCTCCTTGTTGTCAAACCAATGGCTATCTTAGTCTGACTTACATTTCTGAACAAATGCTAACTTTTGGTAGGGTGGGCAACATTCATTGAACCCTCTTCTCCCCCAAGTAGTAATAAATGAATGATATTAAGTTAAAATTTTTCAAATATGTTTAAATTCCCTGAGTTTAAATTTCACACCAGATATCCAAAGTGAAGCAGGCATTCTTTTGGCCTAACAGTTTCCTTATAAAGTGTTGCTAAATTAAACAATTAACTTTTAGGTACAGAAGCAAATACAGAGAATTAAAGAATAATAATTTAAAAAATAAACTTCCCTGAAGTTCGGTCTTTAGGAGCATCATGTGTTTGTATTTCTACCGTTTTTGGTAGAATATAAGCTACTTGAGGGCAGGGACCGTCTTCTTTTTGTCTTTATACTGCAGCACCTATGACAGTGGATGACATATGGTAAGTTATTTATAAATGCTTATTTACTTAAACTTCCGTCCTTCCACACAGAAAGATGACTATATTCTAGGAGACTAAATTAAATTTTGGGGACATGAAATTGAAAATTGTATCTTAAAAAGCAGTCTATACTATAATGTAAACCAGTTGATTTGTCTATTCATAAGAGATATAGAATCATAAATCTTAGACCTTGAATTGAATCTTAGTGATCATATATTACATACACCTCTCCACCCCAGCCCCATATGGTATAGTGGAAAAAACACTAAATTTGGAATTATAGAACCTAGGTTTGAATCTTGGTTCAGTTATTTTTAACCTTGTGACTTTGGGCAAATAAGTTAATCTTTCTATGATTCAGTTCCCTCATTCATAAACAAAGGAGCTGTATTAAGCAATCTACAAGTTCCCTATCAGCTCTAAATCCAGCTATATGATAATATACGTTGAAAAACTCAAAAGCAATTGTCCTAGAGTTGAATTATGCTATATGAGATAATTTAATGCTTTGTTTATATCAACTATCTTGATGTCTTGACATTAGAAATTTTGTTTTGTCCCATAAAGAGGTTTTCTTTCAAGGTGAACAAGATTTTTCATGGTGTGCTAATACTATCAGCATCTGCTGTTGGCGAACCTCAGAAGAAGAAAAAAAATCTCTGGAGCAAGCCACATCTTACCATTTCTTTTTTATTGGTTTCCAGGGGAATATGTTGTCATGACCACCCATTTCCACTTGAAGAGAAAGATTGGCTACTTTGTTATTCAAACATACTTACCCTGTATAATGACGGTTATTCTCTCCCAAGTTTCTTTTTGGCTCAACAGAGAGTCAGTCCCAGCAAGAACTGTATTTGGTAAGTTCAAGATAAATATCTAAATCTCATTCATATGTACCTAGAGAAAGAGTGAAAAAGGTAATGTTGTTACCTTGATATCAAAAGTATATGCAATCCTTTAATAATAAAGAAAAAGACTATAGAAAAATGTAGGAATTTGACAACAGAGAAAGATAAGCAATATTTTTTCACATCACCCAAGCAGCATTTGCTTTTGAAAATAATCACCTCAAGTTTCAGTTAAATAATAAGGTCCTCTTACAGAGGTAAATCATAATTCTAATAATAAAATTATTTTAATGTGTGATATCTAAACATATTTAGAAACAATTATGCAAAACAGCATCTCTATAGCTATATGAAGAAATATAATGATTACTACTTATTTTTAAACATAAAAAAATTTCCACATTATCATATTATGATTTAAAAAACCTCAAAAAATTAACACTCATAAATGCTATTGAATTTTACTTTGCAGTCAATTTTCAAAACATTTTCAATAAGAATTCTTCCACTTTGGACAAAAATATCCAGGCTTAGAGAAGTGGTGCAGAAAATAGTGTGACAGGAGGAACTGGTGGCATAGAGGAGAGCCCTGTGGGTACTGTGGGTGCAGTTGGACCAGGAAAGATAACAGCCTGTCTCCCAGATAGTTCACCTAATACCTCTATGGTGGGTTATGAGAAAATTATTTGGATAGAGGAACAATTATGATGAGACCCTAGCTATGTTGACCCTGGGACAGAAGAAAGTATAGGATAGCATCATATAATGGACAAGGAGATTTGGTTTCCATGTAGAAGAAGTAATTCCCAAGGTTGAAATGTACCTTCCTAGATTGGCATACTGGGCATAATTCCTAGATATCCTGGCATAGGTACAGTTCTGAAATGGACATAACTTAAATCATTTGGTATTCACAATAACCCTCTGAAGATAAAAGGTTAGGGATTATGAGATTCACTTTATACATGAGGAAAGGAAAGCGGAACATAGCTAAGTGAAGTGATATGCCCAAGGTCACACAACTAATAAGTGGCACAGTGTAAGTCTTAGCATCCTAAAATTATAACTGGAAGATCATTTTTCAGATGAAGAAATGTAGATCAGAAATGACTCGTCCAAGGGCACTCAACATGTGATTTGAATTCATGTATTCATCCTGAATAATGGCCTTAGTACAAATCTAAATGGAAACATAAAATTACTCCAGATCCCACAATTACAAACAAAAGCCAAAATGTTCAATTTTAAATATTCATATTCATATACTATGGGAGTTGGAAGCATATTAGTATATGCACTGATCTCTTCTCCTGTATCATGTTTTCTAAGCAAGAGAAAATCCTACTTTAGTGCTCAGTTTCTTGTCATCATGGAGAATCAGGTCCCTAATAATAAGAATAACCATAGTGCCCAAAGTAACGCAAGTGAAGTAAAAAAGACCTGTGTCTAAATTCAATTTCACACTTATTAGCTGTGTGACCCTTACCAAGTCACTTAACCTCTATCTCCTTCAGTAATCTCCTCATCTGCAAAAGGGAAATACTAGTAGAAGTATCTACCTCCAAGGGCTGTAGTGAAGACAAAATATTTGCAAAATGCTTTGCAAACTTTAAAGTGCTCTAAAAATGCTAGATGCTATTACTGTTATCTCTAAAAATGGTGGATGCTATTATTGTTATTTTATGTAGCTGTTCAAGCATTTCTTTCAACCCACCTTTGTTACCTTCTGTTATGTAACTAGTACTTTAGCTGCTTATCAGAGTTGAAGACAAACCCCTAAAAGATGCATTGAATCAGGACATTTTGCTCATTAATGATTTCAAAAGCCATAACACCAAACACATTTGGGGTGTGTGTGTGTGTGTGTGTGTGTGTGTGTGTATTTTAAGAGTGAAATTATAAAGGCAAGGTTGAGGAAAAAAATCGCCTGTGAAGGTGTTGTTTCCCCCTCTCTGGAGAGAAGTCTCTTCAGCTTTTCAGTGTTTTACAAGTAGCAAGCTTTGGTCATAACACTTTCCAAAGGCTTTTTTTTCTCTGACTGATACATACCCTTTTGGTGATTATAACTACATAGCAAAACCAGCTGTAGTCAAGATTTTCTAAACATCAAGATGCATTCTTTTCAAATGCTTTGCCCTCAACAAAATCCCAAATACAAATTTTTTTCTGAGACCTTTATGCCTTTAACATTTACTTAGCAATATATTTCTTATCTTTTTACTTTGAACTCAGTATATTAGTTTAAACTAAGCCCTGACTGAAGGGTTATGGACTACACAAAAAATGCAAAAATTCCTTAAATTTTGCATCCATTACATATATAAATTATTTATTTGAACTTGATCTCATCAATTAGTGAATTATCAAGTATTATAAATATGACTATAGAAATTCTAAAACCAAAGCCTGTTAGTTGTATCTTCTATCAACTAATGGATATATATTTAATCAGTCAATCAATAAAAATTAAGTGACTATTATCATGTATCTACACTGTATATCAGATATGAAATAATCCCTAACCTCAAAGAACTTACATTATATGCAGAAAAACAAAATGAACATGTGTTTGTCTTTGTGTATAATTGTCTATACATACATGAATATACATGCATATGTGCATTGTATATGCATACTATGTGTATATATATAGATATACATGTGTATGTATGTGTATGTATATGTGTAAATATGTATATATACAGGGTATGAACAGGGTAGGGAAGGAGAGTCACTGACACCTAAGGAGGTTTAAGAATTTGGTTCACAACCATGATGTCTAAGTGCATTATTTCTGAATTGCTGATCATCCTTTAATACTAAGCACGGTGGACATAAACAACAACAGGAATTGATTATATGATATGAATACAGTTATCATGATAGTTGGTAGAGATAACTGATAGAATGTAAAAAAAATAGTTGATGAAATATGGAATATGTTCCATGGATTTCAGGAAAGTCTCAATGCCCAAGTTATTATTCCTATATCTAGTGTCATAAGGATCATCACTTTAAAACTATAAGAAACCTTCAAGGTCTTCTGGTTCAACTCCTTCCTCTTATAAATGAGATCTAGTGGTCCAGAAAAGTTTAATGACTTACCTATGGCCCCTGCTTCCCATAAGTTAACATCTGATAGCAGATACTAGTAACCAACAGTTTTCTTTCTTAAACCACTGCTATTCCATAGTCATCTTAATAGTTAGCATTAGGTGGTTTCAAGTTAATGAAACATGAATAAGTTTCTATGCTTTTCTCATTAATGAGATACTTTATAGAAAGAGCTGTGTGGCCTTAAAGTACTACATAAATGGAAGCTATTACTATTAAATCAGTTTTTCATGTACATTTTTGAATATAGAATAAGTGTTGGTAAAAAGGGGAATCAATTCCATATATATATATATTCCAAAATAGGCCATGAGGGAAAGGAAAAAAAGAGGAGGGTCAGAAAAGAAGAGAACCAGCTCTCATGATGTAGACTAAACCAGGAATGCGTGGGTTGTAATTAAAAGTGTTTATTAGGTACTTAGCACTGATTCAACTCAGAAAGTATCTATCCCTCCTTACCATCTAGGATTTTTGAGATTAGAAGAGTAGCACATGACATGATCTGTATCCTGAAATAACTTTCCATATTGCAGTTTTGTGGCCAATATAATGTGAGTTATAAGCAACAAAAGAAAATTTTATAACAGATTAGAAATTCCTAGAAAATCTATTCTGCTTTGCAATATTGTAAGCATGACCAATTGTAAAAGACTTAGCTACTCTGATTAAGACAATAATTCAAGACAATTCCAAAGGACCAATAATGAAAAGTGCTATACCCTTCCAGAGAAAAAATTGGTGAACCCTGGGTGTAGATTTTTATTTATCAAATATGTCAACCAATGGTATAAATCCATAAGTTGAAGATCATTTTCCCCTTAATGTAGGAGATTATAAAATTCTCATCCATTTAAAAAAAAATCTCATTTTCCCAAACACTGTAGCCCCTATAAATATTTATTAACTCATTTTAAAATTAATTAATTAATTGATTTTTAGTTTTCAACTTTCACTTTTATAAGATTTTGAGTTCAAAATTTTTCTCCCTCCCTTCTCCAATGTGGCAAGCAATCTGATATAGGATATACATATAGGACCATATTAAATATATTTCCACATTATTCATATTGTGAAAGAAGAATCAGAACAAAATGGGAAAAAAATGAGAAAGAAAAAACAAATAAAAAAACAACAAAAACAACAAAAAAGGGAAAATAGCATGCTTTATCTGCATTCACACTCCATAGTTCTTTCTCTGGATATAGATACCATTTTCCACCATGAGTCTTTTAGAATTATCTTAAATCATTGCATTGCTGAGTATAGATTTAAACATACTTTGTTTTTAAAACTTTCCTTATTTTTCTTGTTTTATGTGTTTTCTTCTGTAATATGTCTGATATGAAAATGTTTTAGATGACTTCACATGTATAATTGATATCACATTGCTTACCTTCTTAAGAGGTGATGGAGGGGCATGAAACAATTTGCAACAAAATTTAAAAAAAAATTAAAATTATTTTTGAATGTAATTGGGAAATTTTAATAAAATACATAATTTAAAAAAACAAAATGTGCATCAAATTTTTCTGTCTGCATCTCCATAGCTTTCCATAGTGACTTTGAGGCCAGAGAGTGCAGGTGATTTATCCAAAGTCAAACAGAATGTAACATGGAGAAAGTAAACACCTGAAATGGGGTCTAAACCTAGGTCTTCTTACTCCAGATCTAGAAGCAGGATTACAGCAATATTCACTCAGCCTAAAATCTATCTCCCCCAAAATAGAATAAATGGGAAAATATGTTCTCACTCTATAAACCTGTATAACCACCCTCTACTGATAGATAAATATTATAAATGTTTTCTTTGCATTTTTTGTGTACATTTTCTTTTTTCCTTCCAGGAGTGACAACTGTCCTTACTATGACCACCCTGAGTATCAGTGCCAGAAATTCTCTTCCCAAAGTGGCCTATGCCACAGCCATGGATTGGTTTATTGCAGTGTGTTATGCCTTTGTGTTTTCAGCACTGATTGAATTTGCCACTGTCAACTATTTTACCAAGAGAGGTTATGCTTGGGATGGCAAAAGTGTTGTTCCTGAAAAGGTAAAAATCTTTAACAGTTACTGTAAAGCATGTCATTTCTTTGTGAGTCTGAAAGTTAATCTGAAGAAACTTCTTTCAACCAATTAGGATGACAATAATTTTTAGCCTTGTTGAGGAGGCCATGTTAATAAGTCAGACCAATAAGTATTTAAATGCCTGTTATGTACTAGGTGTTATGGAAGGCGTCATTCAAGTATATTAATTCATTTAATCAATATGTTTTAATATATCTACTATGTAGATACACTTTTAAGTGCTAGGACTAAGGGAACTTAGTAGGGTAATAAGGTAAAATACTAAAGTAATTTATGTAGCCCCTGACTTTGAGGACTTCATAGTCTATATTTCCCTTGGAAAGTTTCTTAACATCTATGATACTCAGAGCCTTCACTTATAGAACAAGAGATTTGTGATAGATGGCCTTAAGACCCCTTCCAACTCTATATCTAGTATCTTATGAATTCCATAGGTAAGATGAAATATACAAGATATTATATGACATTTGTAAAATATGTCATATGAAGATCAGCTGATCTTTAGCCTGGAGCAGGAGGAGAAGAGAAGGGCAGGATGAGGATGGTCAAATACTGAACAATGATCATGTGGAAGAGGAATTAGGATGTTTCTCTTGTTTTGGTCTCAGGAACAATTGACATAAGTTGTAAAGAGTCAAATTCAGGGTTGATAGCAGTAAAAAAAGAAAAAAAAACATAAGAATTAGAGCTGTCCAAACCTAAAATGAATTGACTCTGGAGGCAGCAGGTTTTCTTACTTCAGAGGTCCCCTAAACTAAAGGTTGGATAACCACTGGTACAGTATGTCATAAGGGAGTTCTAACATTATAGCATGTATGTGGTACATTGGAAGGCCGCCAAAGTACTTTACAAATCTAAACTTCTCTAATTCGAGGAATTATATGATTCAGTAAAATAAATATTATGCAACATGGAACTGGAAAGGTACATAATTAGTGGTATGAGTTCAGAGGACAGAAAGAAATCACTTTTGGCTTGGGGAATGGAGTATAGAAAATCAGAGATGGCATCTGGGTGAAAGTGACACTGACCTTGATCTTAAAGGATGAGTTGAATTTCAAGAGACAGAAATAGGGTTTGGAATGATTCCTGGCATTATAGGCTAAGAGGAAAAAAAAGAGAGAGAGAGAAATGCTGAACTGCAGAGAGAAAAACAAGGTCGAATGATAAAAGTTTTGTCTGGTCTCAGTGTTGAAAGTCAAAGTGTTGTGTAAATGGCTTCACATTATTAATAAAATAACTAACTCATCACTTATTTGTACACTGAGCTCAATTAAGCTAAATTTTTATAACTTAGAGTTCTAGCCTTTAGGTTGCCTAGTGGCTTCCATATTATTAACAACAACAACAACAACAACAACGACAGTAATAAAAATAATATAGGTGATATTCCTGATTTATACAGATACGTCGTTTCCATCAAAGCACAATCTTTCTTCATAGTATTGTTCCAAATCTGCAGCTGACTTTCCTCCTTTATTTTCTGAGGTAGACTGACTAGTCCAGAGTTTGGTTTTAAAACAAACAAACAAAAATCCTCCTCTGTCAAAAAGTGAATGTGTCTGATTTTGGATTAAGATGTTAGGATATGTTCGAATTTGGAAAGAACCTTGAGGTCTCCAAATGAAGGGTTCCTCCTACAATATGCTTGACAGATGGTTCTTCCACTCCCTGTTTGAACACTTCCATAAGCTTTTTGGGCCTAATGCCAGCTTGCCTGAGTGAGTTTTGCTGTGAACAGTCTAGTTCTAGCTAATATAATCTGTCATTTAACCATGTTAAACTATCTGTCCATAGGTTATATTATTTTTTATTATTACATTTTAAATGCTCTAAATGAAAATTTAGTTTTTGGAAAGAATTAAATGGCCATCTAGTACTGCCTATAAAAGATTAAAGTATCCCTAAAAAATATTCTTCATTGATTCCTTTTTGAATATAGTTATATATTATATTAAAGTAAGATATTTTGTTAATTGACTAGCTATTTGGCAGCTGATAGCAGAAGGATGTCTGTTAGAACTAGGACACTGTATTTGGTACAGCCAGATTCCAAAGTCTTGATGTATGTAATTTTAAAAAGCAAGAGAACTGGTATTTAATAAGCACTTACTATGTGCCAAGGACTGTGCTAAGCATGTTACAATATCTCATTTGATCTTGTAACAACCCAAAGAGGTAGGCTTTATTATTATGCCCATTTTTTTCTTTTACACTTGAGGAATCCAAAGTAGGCAGACTTCAATTGACTTCTCCAGGGTCACAGCTAGAAAATGAGTAAGGCTGGATTTGAACTCAGGTCTTCTTGACTCTAGGCCCAGTGCTCTATCTACCGAGCCAGCTATCTGCCTCTAAAGAAAACAGAGATCACAGAATATCCCCACCAATACTGAGTAATATTTAAAATATGTATTTGAATGAACATAGGACTCTCTAAATTAAGATGTAAAATGGTTTATTAAGCAATGAGATACAAAACTTATTTGAGTGACAAAACAATTCTCAATAAGGAAACCACAATTTTCAGACAATTGTCAAATATTTAGCAATTTGTTATTTGCCTTGCTCTATGAATAACACAATCAAACATTGGAATTTAAGAAATCCTTATTTGAGTTCATTATGAGAAAGTTAATCAGAGATAGGTAAGATTCAAGTTGCCTGTTATAATCTATGAATGGTTTGTTTTGTGGAATATGGCAGAAACTTTGGAAACAATGCTGGGTTTCATTTAAATAAAACAAATTAAACCAAATCATCCAGGTGGACAAAGAAATATACAGCTACTTGTTTTAGTGTGGATAAAAGAAAATCAAAAACTCAAATGGACATAACATCTCACTGATGCTACCATTCCTTCAAACTATTCAGATCACAATACTTCCGTTCCTGCTCTTGTTTTGTGCAGGATCACAACATATTTCTGTCCTTTACAGAAGTCCACTCCAATGTCCTGTGGGTTGGACTTTTTCTGCTATCTTTTGACATCTCACATGGATACCTATGGAATACAAAGACTGTGTAGTAGTTAAGCTCTTGCCACATGACCAGTCCATCATCTCTTTCACAATTTTTTTATGACATCTTTGATGCTGTTTGTCCTTTAGAATTACTTATGTGTAATGTGTTAAGCATCTTTTGGATCCCATGGCTTTGTTCATTGACATTTTTGTCCAATGACTTTTTAAAAAATTCACTTCTTCAGAGATTGTAGTCATTTTGAGACAAGTAACAGACACAAGATACTATAAAAATACTAGCTGGAATCATTATTACTTTGAAAGCTAGAGCTGGTGTTTCCTCTTCTTTCTGGAATCAGCATGAAAACTGAATAAAGTCTGGGAAACTGGAACTTCTATGCTTTATATATTAAGATAAATCACTGACTGGTTAGAGTCTGATTTATGGGTTAGTCTATACTATTTTATAAAAAAGAAAACACTAAAGCCAATGCTTGTTTTCCTCTTTTCTCCAGCCAAAGAAAGTGAAGGATCCTCTCATTAAGAAAAACAATACCTATGCTGCCACAGCAACCAGCTACACCTCTAACATCGCTCGGGGGGATCCTGGGTTAGCCACCATTGCTAAAAGTGCAACGATAGAACCCAAAGAAGTCAAACCTGAAACAAAGCCACCAGAGCCCAAGAAAACTTTTAACAGTGTCAGCAAAATTGACCGACTGTCAAGAATAGCTTTCCCATTGCTTTTTGGAATCTTTAACCTAGTCTACTGGGCTACTTATTTAAACAGAGAGCCTCAGCTTAAAGCCCCCAACCCACATCAATAGTCACTTTAACTTACATGGTCTTGTTCAGTCTTTCCACACTGGGAATTGCCTTCCGTTCTCAACATAGTAATTCCCATTTGCTTCATTGCCTCTGTCTTAAAGAAACTGAAGGTTTCCTTATTTTAAAAATAAATCATAACAGAACAAGAAACCCTGTATGTTAAATCCAAAGCTTTATTGTAAATATACCTGGGAAACTGGATTTTGAGAGAGGAAGTAAAAAACAACACAAAAACATAGAAAAGAGGACAGAGAGGGAGAGGGAGAGAGCGAGAGAACGAGAGAGAGAGAGAAAGAGAGAGAATAAAGGAGGGAAAATGAAAGGAGTAATGAAAAATACTCAATAATCTCACCAAATTTTATGTAGATATTATATTGCCAAATTCCCTAACAGAGATACTATATATGTCAAAATATTTTTATGCAAAAGGTTTAAGAAAAAAAGTGTTTAAAAGTTAAAAAAAATCTTACTTCCTTATTGCATAGACTATATAATGTATTTACTCTTCTGTTCATTGAAATGAAGGAAGGATTTGATTTTTGAGTTTTCCAACTTCTGAATGTTATTACAGTAATTCTATTTTTAAACCCCCAAATATATTGTTATAGAGGTAAATACTATTTTGAAAATACATGGAAATTTCATATTCTAAGGTGCATTGATGAATGCTTCAATCTGTCATTCATTGTCATTGTTTGTAGCAAGCTGTCTAGATGAGACATCATGTCAATAGTATACTCAGTAGAATGAAAAAAAGAGTGAAGTCTTCCCCTTTCCGAAAATTCTAATCCCAGTAGAACCCAGGTCCTAAAAGAGGTTGCTTCTTGTCTTGAAAATGTTTTAAGAGGGGGCGAAAAAAAGTATTTTGCAAGCTCTAGATATGTTGAATGTATTATTTTCTATAACAGTACATTAAAAGCTTTAGACTGAAATTTATGAATAGCAGACAAAAACAGAGTATTTAATATATGTAAATAAATGGCATGAGATTGTACATTTTTTTTTACTTTTTTAAAGTTGTGTTCTTAAAATACTGTGCAGGGCTCACCTCTGTTAGGTCTTAATATGTTGTTATTTTCTGTGGAAACATATTTAGAGCCTGCATATAAAAGAGGATATAGGAATCAGTAAAAGCATAAAAGATGAAGATATTGGTTGGAATTATACAGATGGAGAGAAAGCTGGCAATTTCAAAAATACCTGATGCACAGTAGTGAGGAAATTACTTTCTGCTCCAGTTATAGAGAAATATTCAAATTTAGGCTACTGTGTGGTAGAGAAAATAAACTTTTAAAAAAATTGTTCCAGCTACAAAATCATCTGTATATTACTGCTGTATTTGTTGATACATAACTGTTACGATAAGTGATGTAATATATGTAGCATTCAATATGAAACAAACATCATACGCAAAAGAATGTACAGAAAATAGATTTTATTGAGTAAACTTACTACATTTCATTTTTACTGTAGCAATATCTTTGTAGGAACACTACGTAAGGGCTTTAAGTATACAATGTCCATTTTGCAGGTATACTATTTATTATTCCCTAGGAAATAATTCTAGTCAGTTTCATTACTGCTGACAGGTTTTAGAGATAAACATTTAAGTAGCAGGTATTTTTGAAGTGCTGTATTTGATTGAAAAGAGTTTTGAAGATATTTAAATTCAATAATCTAGAATTTACGGGCCATGTTCAGAATACATTTAAATACCACCACATGAAACTTTAGCAGAAATGTTCATTGAGACAGTAGAGCATCAGGCATGAATGTGGGGCCACCTTTGATCATCTTTGCTCTGAAAGCTTCTTTCCAATGACAAAACAAATTACTAGTGTGGATGTGTGTGTACACATGTGTATATACATACATACACACACATACACAGAATGTTCAACTTACACAAGATTTGGTTCTGCTTAAACTTGAGAAGCTAATCTGAAATCAACCCAAGGATGTCTTGTCTCACCTTCTGCTATCATGTGTAGATATATGCATAAAAACACACACACAATAAAAATATGGCTCTTTAACTTCTCTGTATTTGTTTAATCTTGTTCTTTTTCAGTGTTAAATTAATGTGTTCATTTAGAGCGTTTTATGCTCCAAGTTACTCCCAACTAACTTTTGGTCTGCATTTTGCACAATAGATATGGATATTACTTAAGTAGTCTGCTTTTTGCTATGCAATGATGGCATTATATGACCTCTTTGTTTGTTAGTATATGTGGATAGGATTTTATTGTATGAATTGATTGCACAGTTTATGGAAGACCGGATATTTTATGTAGCTTTTCTACAGTGCTTTGCTAAACCATGTAACACTAGTAAGTCTTCCTTGAAAATAATGGTACACTCTTATAGAGGACAGTTCCTGTTTACTCCTGGGATAATTTTAAAGATGACATTGAATGTTTATTGCACCTCAGTGCAGTGATGTGGCAATAAAACCTAAAACTAATGGAAGTTGTTTATGGCAGACGCATGCATTGCTTTACAGAGTTTAGCAAAAGCTCTTTATTTTATGTCAGACTGTAATTCTATTACAATAATAAAGCTAAAATTATTCAATAACAAAATGAAATTGTTTACTTTGTTTTCTTCAGCAGTTATGAGCTACTTTAGTGTTTGACAAGAAAATCTCATTTTCTTCTGTGTTTGGGGGATCCAAAGACAAAAATCAAGATAGTGCCTGTCCTCAGGGAGCATACGTCCTACTGTTTAATTCTTTCAATTTCTCAGTAATTACTGAAAAATCATATTAAGTGCATAAGTTCTTAGGATCATAGGCTTAGATAAGGAAAAGTCCTTTGAAGTTTTGCAATCCAGTTCCCTTAACTTGGAGATAAAGAATTGAGGATAGCCTAAGAAATTGTCACAATTAGAACCAACTGTCCTCTGACTACAAATCCAGTATGCCTTCTATTGTATTAGGCAAAGAAAAAGACATAAAGAGTTAAAAACATGATTTTTTTTTTGCTTTATAGTATGGTTGAAAAGTTTAAAAAATATATAAAAATTTTTGATGGTCTCAGAAATTATGATTCTGTATCCACTGAAAACATTACATGATCTCTTTTAAAAATTGTTTTCCACTGATGAATTTAACCATCACAAGCATTACACATCCTAAAATATCTCTTTATGCATAAGAAATCTCATCCAAAATCTCTCTAAATATGTATCCCTCTCTCTCCTCCTCCTCTCCTTCTCTTTCTCCTTCTCCTTCTCCTTCTCCTTCTTCTTCTTCTCCTTCTTCCCCTTCTTCTCCTTCTTTTTCTCATTCTTATTCTTGTTGTTGTTGTTGTTGTTGTTGTTGTTGTTGTTGTTGTTGTTGTTGTTCTTCTTCTTCTTCTTCTCTTCTTCTTCTTCTTCTTCTTCTTCTTCTTCTTTCTTCTCTCCTCATTCTCATTTAATACTCACAGCTACCCTATGAGGTAAGGTATTATCAGATATTATTATCCTCATTTTACAGATAAGGAAATTGAGACCCTGAGAATTTAAATGAGTTTTCCATGTTCATCACACAATTCAGAAGTAGGATTCAGAAGTAGTCATCCTGACTCTAGATGTATTTCTCTAGTAAATATGAATCCATGAAGGTTATTTTTGATTTGTCAAACTAATGCTTTGGCATGGATTCAAGCAAGGATCATTAAGAATAGAATAGAAGAGAATATAGTGGAATAGAAATTAACATAATATTATAAAATATAATAAAATGACTATATAATTTGCTATAATAAATGTAATTAATATAATATTATATTATGTAGAATAAATATTATACTATAATACTCCATAATTTACCATGACAGTATAACTTAATGTAATATGACTTAAAATAATCCAACATAGTACAATATACCATACCATAATATAATATGATATACAACATCATATGGGATGACATGGCATGGCATGTCATATTATGTTACAACTTAATATAAAAAAAGCAAAACAAACCTCTAGCAATGAAATACAATGGAATATAATATAATATGATATAAGATGATAGGATAGATAAGTTAAAGTAGGGTAGAATAGAGTCGAGTATAGTAGGGTAGAGTATTGTAGTGTATCATAATGTAATACATCATAATATAACCTAATATGACAATACCTTGCATCAAATGGCCTGACATGATATGATACATAATTTGAATGACATTATAAAACATGATATGGTGATAACATATGATGTGATTGATGTGATATGATATGGTATGATGTGATGTGATATGACATAGCCAAATGTACTTTCTTTGACATATCAGCCCTATCTTTAATAGAACAGGCTTTTAGCCTTTTTTTTCTTCCTCTATATTGACAATGATTTTGTATGCAACTTTTCTTAAATATATTTGAAAAATGACTCACTGAAAATTGTCACCAATTTAGATAATCTTAGAACAGGTTTTGTGTGTGTGTGTGTGTGTGTGTGTGTGTGTGTGTGTGTGTGTGTGTGTAAATTAATCAGCTTATTCAAGACATGAGCAATTAATCAATTCCTTCCTGTTTCTAGGATAATATATAAACTCCTCTGAAGGACTTTTAAAGTCTTTTACAATCTGATACCCTCCTCTTCACCTTTCTAAGCTTTTTATATTTGGAATTGTGCTTCACAAAAAGCAATGTGGCATTACAGGGGTAAGAATGCTTGGAGTGGGAGTGAGAGGACACTGGTTCAATTCTCTTCCCTGGCTAGAACCTCAGCTCTGCCTCTTTATTACCTGAGTGACTTTGAACACATCACCTCACCTCTTTGTGACTCAGTTTCCTTATCTGTTAAATTAAAAAGTTGGAGTAGATGACTTTTAAGATTCCTTCCAGCTATGAGGCAATGATCATGTTTCAGTCATTTACACATTCTGCACTTCAGACAACGTATTTTCTTGCTGCTTCTCTCCACCTCCTTATATGGCACTCCATCTTGTATCTCCATGATTTTGCACAGAATGTCCTATGTCTAGATGTATTTGCACCTCACCATGGCTCACAGAATTTCCCTTCCTTCAAAACTCGAGTACTGAATCATACCAAAAGTGAATATTAATTCCCCCAGTTACCACTACCCTCTTCTAGTTATAATAACAATCAATAATAAGAACAATGGCTAATATTATATAGTGCACTCTTTGTCTATATTTATATCTATGTGGTCATCACCCTATGACCAGAATATAGTAAGCTTTTTCAGGGAAAGGACTGATTTGTTTTGTCTTTTTATCCTCAATGCCTAGCACAGAGACTGACATGTAGGACATATAGTAGGGACTTATTAATACTTTCTAAATTGAATTGGGTAAAGCCAATTTGAAAATGTCAAATACCTGCAGTTATTTCATATTAAATATTTAGACATAATGAAATATATAAAATGATTTTTTTCTGTACCCCCCATTTGGGGTTAACTTCTAAAACAGACATTTCCTCTCAAAATCTTGAGAAATAAATGCCAAATCTCTCTGTCTCTCTCTCTCTCCACACACACACACACACACACACACACACACTTATGTATGTGTGTGTATATATATATGTATTTATATATGTGGATATACATATATATGTATATATACACATACACGTATGTACATGTATATTTACTTTCAAGGCCTTCAAAATATACAAAGATGCTTGTAGTCCAAGTACACCATAATAAAAAAAAAGAACCTAAGGAACTAACATTATTTGTTAACAACAACAGTAATAATAATTAGCGTTTACATAGCACTTTCAGTTTTGAAAATAACTTTATATATTTTATCCTAGTTTATACTCACAACAACCTTGCAAGGTAGATATTATTATTTCACCTTATACATAAGCAAACTAATGTATATAGAGGTTAAGTGGCTTGCCCAGTGTCACACATCTAGTAAGAGCCTGAGTATATACTTGAACTCAGTTTTCCTGATTCTAAGTCCAGCACTCAACCCACTGCACCACCTTGATCAACAGAAAATACTTCACTGCATACAGTACTCTCTTGAATGCACACACGTACACACACCACTCTTGCATAAGTAACTAAAGGGTATTTCATTCAGTTTGATTGAAGAAGTTTTGGACATTTTATTTAATAGTAATAGAAGGCAAAAATAAAGAGAGTAAAACTGTAGAGGAAGGGACTTTTTTGAATCAATCATTCTTTTCATTTATTTCAGACATTGATACTATTTTTTAAATTTTAAATTCTTGCTCTTAACCCAGGTTTTTCAAATAACAACAGATTTAATTGGCGGATATCTGAGACTGGTGACACCATCAAACTTTTTTTTAAATTTGGATTAACACACATTATTTATTTCTTTAAATTTTTCTTTTCTTTTTAAATTTTGAGTTGCAGGTTTTCTCTTTCCCTTCCACCCCTCCCCCACTCACTGAGAAAACAAAAAGTGTGATAAATTATACCTGTGAAATCATGCAAAACATATTTCCATATTAGCCATATAGAAAAAAAAGGGAATGAGAACATATAATTTTATTTTCACTCAACGTTCATCAGTTCACTCTCTGGAGGTGGATACCTTTTTTTTTTTTCATCATGAGGCCTTTGGAATTGATTTGGATCACCGTAGCCATGTCTTTCAAAGTAAATCATGATTACAACACTGCTGTTACAATGCACAGTGATCTCCTGGTTCTTCTCACTTCATTTTGCAACAGTTTCTATAGGTCCTGCCATTTTTTTTCTTCTGAAACCACTCCTACATTGTTCTTTTATAATAACACAACAGCACTTCACAAAAATTATGTGCCACGACTTGTTCAGTCATTCCTTAATTAATGAGGAACCCCTCAACTTCCAGTTCTTCATCACTGCAAAAAGCTGATAAAAATATTTTTTGCACATATACGTCCTTTTCCTTTTTCTTTGATCTCTTTAGAGTACAGACCTAGTAGTGGTATTACTAGATTAAAGGGGATTTTACTTCCCCAATAATGATAAAGTTCTTAGGAGTTACATGTGTCATCTTCCACGTAGGAATGTAAACATTTTAACTCCAATGAGTCCCTTATGATTACTCTTTCAAGTTTACTATTTATGCTTCTCTTGAATCTTCTATTTGGATGTCATTTTTTTTTTTGTTCAGCTCCAGGCTTTTAACTAGGAATACTTAAAAGTCCCCTATTTAATTAAATATCCCCTCCCCCCATAGGATTGTACTTAATTTTGCTGGATAGGTTATTCTTGATTTTAATCCTACCTCCTCTGATCTCTGGAATATCACGTGGAAGCTGCTAAATGTTGTGTTATCCTAACAGTGGTTTCACAATATTTCAATTGTTTTTTTCTGGCTGCTTGAAATATTTTCTCCTTGACATTGGTGTTATGGAATTTGGCTACAATAGTCCTTGGAGTTTTAATTGTAGAATGTCTTTCAAAAGGTGATCTGTGGATTCTTTCATTTTGTATTTTGCCCTCAGGATCCAAGATATTTGGGAAGTTTTCCTTGATAATTTCTTGAAACATGTTATCTAGGCTTTTTCTTTCATCTTGGCTTTCAGGTAATCTGATAATTTTTAAATTTTCCCTCCTTGATTTATTTTCCAAGTCAGTTGTTTT